ACAATCTGAAACATATGCCTTGCTATCCAAACACGATATTTCCAAGACCTTTACATATAGATGTATACAAAATTGTCAAGATATTCACTATGCTTGATATTTTTATTAGCTTTTCCCAGGGGAACTTATAACAAATGATACAAACTAACTAATTTAATCCCACGTACACGCTAATACCCCTAGCTACTGAACGCCATGTCGTATAAATGTCTCCGAATTAATTTAACTAGGGAAGGTCGTGGAAAGTTCACATGATGTCAGCAGTCACACGTGATGGAGATGGTGTTGAGTTGGTTCTAATTCGTCTGCGAGAACTCTTCCAAAATTATTATATAACCATCTTTAATATTTCCCATTACACCGCCAAAGCCAAGATCTGTAAAGCTATCCTGCAGAGTCGAACTTGATGCAATACAGAATTTCATAAAGCGTTAGAGATTGAGGACTATGGTCAAAATAATAGCACTATCTTTTCCAGGTGGCACTAAATTGAATTTGTTATCAATTTCTATCTAAAATGAAAGATTATTGCTTTGCTAAGTCGGGTTCTTCAGTAAATTGTATCAGAACAAAGCACTGAGAATTCATTTTTATGGAAGCTTATAAGGGTCAATTTTCGATAAATATCGCGATATTAATAATGGAATAATTATGTTGACAAGCTTCAGAATAGCAATAATTAACGCACGCGTGTACATTTAAAATGAAATGATAACGTATACTACTTGGCAAAAATTATGGAAGCGTATAGGGGTCAGTGCATGATGGATACCGCGGTATTAATTGGTAATATGTCAACATATTGTGATAGATACCGCGGTATTAATTGGTAATATGTCAACATATTGTGATAGATACCACGGTATTAATTGGTAATATGCCAACATAATTATTGTGATCGTTCTCACGATTAAACGCCTGAAAATGCAATTTTTGCTGAGTTAACTGAATCAAACAAAGTGCTGTGTTGTATGTCGGCATTTTGTATTAATGACATACAACATAGCGCTTTGATTCAATTTAACTCGGCAAAATTTGTCTTTTCAGGGGTAAATGTTGGCATATTACCTTATTAATATCGTGCTATTGACCACCATACGCTTCCATAGAAAATGATCTTTTCATGGGTAAATCATCAATGTTGCGCTATCTATCATGCAATGGACCTTGTAAATACGCTTTCGTACCCAATTGCAGCATGGACTATATTTTAAACTTCATGGTTGCAGCTGTATGCCAATGCCATCGAAATGATTAGAAGCAAGATGGCGTTGGGGTTACATATGGAAGCGTATAGGGGTCAATAGCGCGATAGATACCGCGATAATTATAAGGTTATTTCTCAACTTACATGTATAGTATGCAAGCTATTAAACAGGTTATTGCAGGTTAGTAGGCAGAAGTTATCAGCGGAAATATACCTTGAGCAGAATTTTAGTTATTATGTCGTCTGCTAGTGTTTAGAAAGACAGGTGGTGTAGACCTGAGTAATTACTGGTCGACATTTTCACGATGGTAACACGACGAGCTGGTCAAACTGAAATAATTAATTATAGGCTACTTTATTTCCCATGTCGTAGGGCTTTTCATGTTTGGCTTGACAAATGTACATGTCTTATAGAATTAGAACTCAGATGTTTAAGAAACATTTCTTTCGCCTTTAAAGGAAGTATAAATAATGTCCGACATGTGTTAATATGAATAATATAAATGAGTTCATTTTTTCTGATCTAGATTTATTAGACCCACATCAAGGGGAATAAGGCATTGTGTGGAACACAGGAATAAAATGTTGTTTATTAAAACAATACATGTTTTCAAAAGAATCGTGGAAAAAGATGGATATCATGTATCCATTAAGAAAAGAGTAGAGTATAAATAATGTTTGAATACGTGGTTTGTGCATGTATATGATGACTTAATGGCGATTATCAGATTAACAAAATTGACTGACTTTTATGTTTGCGTGTATCATGACGTAATGATAATAAATATTTATGAGGAAAAGATAGCTGGAAGAAAATTGAGGTTAACCCCGAGATACGGATAAAACACACACGAGGGAGTATGATGCCGACCAATCGTTACAGTTATTGTTCAATAGAATGGGGTGTACGATGAAGCCCACTAATTGTTACATCGTCATTTGCAAATCTCCGATCTTCGTCGGGAATTAGTTATTGATGTTTTATATGAAAATTATCGCTGGTGTAATCAGAGATTCGTACGCTTGAATCACTCTAAGCGGTCGTCTTGAATGGTTGGGGCTTAGTTTTGCCGATTGTTTCCTCGTAATCTGACGTGCCTGTTTATAAATCGGTCGTAACAAAAATCTCTTCTGATGGAAGAGAGGGGTTTACAGCATCTGCCCTTGCTATCATTTCTTTTATTCGAGCCCAAAGTGAAAAAAAAGTTGACATGAATGCAACTAGTCAAGAATCGCTGAAGAGTGGGCGTCATTTTTCGCAATACGACTGATGAGGCCTTCTATACCTCTCATATTGAAGGACGGGTTTCGATTTACTTATAAATACAATGGGTCTCGGGAGGCAGTTTATTATTATGGGACATCAAACTGAGTCATAAGAAAGCAAACTAGAATAGAAACAGACGACAGTTGAAATACGAGAGACGGTTAGACGAAGCGGGGGATCTCTGTTGGTGTGGTGTTGTATATTTACTTCTGGAGGAAGTCTTGGTTTACAGGTTTTCTATACTAGAGACGAGAAGACAGCTGATGGGGAGCAAGCGTACGACTATTTGTTGGACTCAGAAATCAGAGCTAAAAAGAAATCCCGCGCGGTAAATATGTGTTGGGCTTGTGTTATCTGGATCAATAAACCTTTGTGCAAACACTGCTAATGGATCGAGGCAGCACAAGTATGAGGTCTCGCGCTGAAGGAACATTTAGGTATTGAACACTGACCGCATGCTAGTTACAACTGACAGTTTGAACTATGTTACATTTGGTTCTAGAGGAAGATAGTTATATATTTAATCTACCTGCAAGACATTATGAGAGATGAGGACGGGAACAAGTATTAAGGTAGATACATGTTATAGATTACTCATCCTCACGATAATTGATATTATAGATAATGGTATTAAAGGTTTTTAAGTTGACATTCAATCTGTTTTCTCTAGTTATTAACTATACGAAAATTACGTCTTTTACATATAATGCATTACCAACAGGATACTAATATACAGTTGGATACGATATTTGAAACTATGTCTTCCACCCAATATTTTTTATCTATTTAACTGTTGTGGTAGGTATATTCGTAGTGTTATGTGTCGTATTAAGTCTAGGTTTTAGGTTACGAGTTATGTATATATATTATTTTCTTTGCGACATGTCGTATTCTGTGGGCGTTGAGTTGATATCTTTTCACAATACTGATCAGTCTTTAAATATAATATGAAGTTTGTGATTTACGAGCGCCTAATTTTTACTGGTAAACCTAATTGGGTATTTTTATGACCCTTAAGTGTCTTAATTGGCTCTCATCATGCCTCGAATGAATCTAGGAAAACGATCATCAACCTTCGATTTCAATGTGTACGTTTCTAGTATTGCAGTAATGACTAACTTGTAAAGTTTACGCTTGAAATCCGTCGGTGTATGCCGATCGAATGTAACAACGAGAAAACTCCAAGTTTTTGTGCGTGCTATTCAAGACGATGTCACTCAAACGACAATAAATTATTGTTCAAGCCAAATTACCGTTCATTGGTGTATATGAAAAGAGCGTTTCGGGGATGCAAAAATCCTAGAGTGTGTCACATTGCCTGTCTCCCTGCGGGATAGATGTCGCTTCATTATTAGGGGCAAAATATCTGCAAATAGCCATTGTGGGTGAATGACACACCAGTGAATCTGAAAAAGCTGATGTCCATGGGCGCAGGGTGAAAAACTGAGCTGGAGGGCGAAATGCTTTGTTAATGGACACAACTACATAATGAGAGAAAGTTACCGACAAAGGATATTATGTAATAATGTTGACAGGTCAGATAGCGTTAATCGCATGATTATCTCTACACAATTACAATTTAACAGTTGTTGACTTGTGTATTACAAGTCAATCATTGCCTTATACTTCATATCTTTTACTTTTCTATTTGATTCTTTGTAGGGCTTTAGACTAAATTAGAAAGAATAAAGTTCATGGTGTGAACATCAAAACTGAGCTTTATTGTCTTTTGAGTCTAGGTAAAGGGTAGCCTTACTTATCTACCGCTGAATCTAAAAATCTAAAATATAATATAGGTATAATAATTATATACCTGCCAGGACATTCTAAAGCAGATATATATAATTAGAAACTTCGGTTGTGTTTTATTGTCCGTTGACACTATATCTATAAAGGATAAAGCTGGTATTCAGTAGCCTTATACTTATCTACCGTTTAAAAAATCTAAAATATATTAATACAGTATAATATATATATATAATTATATATCTGCATGTGCATTTTAAAGGTAACATACATATAATTAGAATGTTCGACTGTGTCTAATTTGTGTACAAACTGTCGATAGTTGTTTTGAAACCAGATAAATATGAATAACCTCTTTTACAACATCAGTGTAGTTAGTTCGTGTCTCCTTTTACGGATATATAAACTTGCACTTACATAATATCGAGTTTCTTAAACAAAATCTCCTGGTTTTAATTTATTTGTACTGAAAATATTTACCTTCTTTACGAAGTTTTGTGTTAAAACTATGAAATCTTACCAAACTGGTTCAAATCTGGTTTAACGCCTGTTAGATCAGTGCATGTTACTGTTGTGTTGGGTTTTCAGGTAAAGTTACTATCAAATGAATGGATGGTAGTTTGTTTAATTATTGTATACAGCATGCACACTGAATCATGATAAAACTTGTCTCCAACCATTTAGATTTAAATTGTTTGTTTTGTTTTTGTTTTTAGTTCAGTTTCAATGTTACATAAAATCGATGTACATGTCGTTGACCCTGTTTTCTTTTCCTTTCAGATGCTGAGTGTCGTGAGAAAGACCTAGAATATTTCCAAACAGAAAAAAAAGAGCTGTCAAAGAACAATATGAGTTGGAAACGTGGTCGTCATCGTCGCTCATCAAGCGCGGATAATGTATGGTATGTAGCAGGCTCGTGTGTCGTGTTTTTCCTCTTAGGAAATCTATTAATGTTTCAAACATATCATGGCTTCGTAGAAAACAGAGGGGAACGATCAATGCATGGCGACTCTTTGCAGGATCATCCAATTTCCATTAAAGATCTCACCGGCAAACTTCTCGGAAGACCCTTGATGATAAAATACCAGTTCGATCAGTATTCCGTGTTTGAAAGCCGACTCAGGAAATTAATGGAAAACACACAAGACAGTGGACGGGGTGACATTTTCACTCATCATTTATCGACGACTGAAACAAAATTCGATAAGAACGGTAATCGACTCTTAAACTGTGATGATATTGATAATATAACGGACAAGGAATATATCGCCTCGGGCTGGACTAAGGCCGTATATAAGGGTATGTACAAAGGGTCCCCCGTGGCTGTAAAAACTGTAGATATAAGAGGACAAGACGTTGGGTCATGTGTAGAACAAGGACGTACCGTAGAAGATTGTTACTGGAAAGCAGCACAGAAAATAATAAATGAGATAGTCATTCTTCAAGGAATTCCCCATGATAATATTATTAAGGTGAGCCATATATAATAACATTTTAAGAGTTATTGATTTAATTTATTCCTCAAAAATGAAGGACATACTACATTACACCAACTTATATGCCCAACATTGAAATGTGGATGAATATTGTCTCCTGTATTGGTCCATTACCAACAATTACTTGTGAATACTCTGCGACTACATTTATCATCCGATCTTTTTACAATTTCCAGTAGTTACTTTTAGAGTTACCACCCTTGTTCTTTTTGTAAAATACTCTGCAGACTACATTTATCATCCGATCTTTTTATAATGTATATAGTGCTGTAACAGTAAGGGGTGAAAAGGCCTATTGAATTTCAACAATTTCCAGTAGTTACTTTTAGAGTTATGACCCTTCTTCATTTTGTAAAATTTCGTGAACGCTCTATCCACAAAAGTTATAATCTTATCTGCTTTAAATTTGTATTCATTGTTCGAACTGCATAATGAAATAAAGGAATTCAGAGAATCTTGTCAACGGGATAGTGACATTAAAAAAAATTGATTTTACGATAACCGTTGCGGATGTATTTATTGTTGGCTAATTTTTGACAAGAAAGTCTAGATTTGATTTTATTTTAAAAAAACAGAATCTTCAACACATATATTTTATGGTTTTCCTTTATTGTGAGAGCTTAGATTTTATTAGATTCATAGAAGTTATTCATATTTCATTTCACGTTTACATTAAAGTTATTGATGGTAAATATTGATTAAAAAATTGTCTGTTTATCCAATATATAATATGAAAAACGTGTACACCTATAGCTACATGAATGTGCTATGGTATACACCCTTGAGAAGACATTGATCAATAGAATAATTGTATACAGACTGGGTTATGTCTGTGACACACCTCATATCAAAGTGTTGATGGAATAGTTTCAATCAACATGAACGCATCAAAAGATTAAACTTCATGTATCATCAACAACCTCATAATTCAGCTGCACCCTGTATTGTTTGATTATTTTCTCAACATAGAATACAGTATAGGTTACGTTTTATTAACAAAGTTGGCAATAATATCGAACCTTAGGACATACCCCCCAAACGAAGACATAATACTTTATTTTGTGTAAAACGCCATCACGGGGATGAGAGTTTCAATAAATGCTTTTTCGGCGTGAAATAGCTTTATTTTACGTACGCTTCCACCGAGGTGATATCGCAGACAATAACATGTCATTGTGATATTATTTACAATGTGATTAGCGAATAGGATATAAAAGGATTAATAAATATTTATATATATATATATATATGTACAGAGCAAAACAATAAGTGACAGGACGAACGAACATTTTACAGAACAGACACAAATGTGGACGAACATGACAATTAAACCATGGCCCTAATATTATATAATATAAGGTCCATCATTAAACCTAGAATGTACATATATATTGATAGAAGTCAATTCTGTCGGTCTGGTCAATTTGTCCGGTTGAATGGCAGGGCGGTACAACTCTTCCTTGGGGCTTGTTGGTGAGTGTAGGACCTGGTCCTTTCTTCCTTCCATTTTTTCTTCTTGTCGGGTAGATTTCATCTTCATTTCTTTTGTTCGTTCCTTTTGATAACGCCCACATTGAAACGAAGAAGTCTATTGATTTTCACCGATATCGATAATTACTGCTAGAGTTATGACCCTTGATTACTTTGAAAAATCTTGTGGATGCTTTAGAGACCATAGTTATCATCTGATTGATTTTATATTTATACACTGTGTTTACACCTATATATAATCGTTTCGATTGACTTTAGATTGATACAGAAAGTTTAAGGTCTTGAGACGAAAAAGTATATTGATTTTCAATGATTTTTGATAACTTGAACAGCTAAATCCACGATATTACATGGTTTGTATACTAAACCTTAGCATGGGCCAAACAAATTCTAATGATTTTCTGATCATTACTTAATGAGTAAAATATGCGACAACTCTTGTTGACTGCCGGACGATTTAGCTGCTATGGGCGTATGTTTCGTTGCCGGACGATTTAGCTGCTATGGGCGTATGTTTCGTTACCTGTCAACCTATCTTTTTATTGGTTCTCTGAAAGAAGAAAGACAAGACAGAGAAAAAAGAGAGTACCTGGTCTTATGTTGTTGAAAGTCGTTTAATAAAGCTTCCGGGTTTAGATGGGAGAGATTTTGAGAAAAAACAATACATTTATAGTGAATGAAAACTGAAATTATATAGCATTCCGAAAGTATGGTCATATAGTTGATCGTAATATATATATATATATGGTTTTAAAAGCAATCTTTATTTCGAGTTCATATTCAAATACAATAAAACATTTAACATAGTTACGTGGATGTACAATCAATCGTAAATTAAAATGCATGTATACCCGTTTTTATGTTTGAGCTTTCAAAAGGCAACTCGTTGTCAATCCACGAATTCCAAACACGCCTGTTCCAGTCGTGTCAAAGATCACACGAGTTGCGAGAATAAACTTTAACTTGCAATTTGCCAGGCAGGTGTGAACTTATGTCTATGGGTCTTAGACAAACTAGTAGAGGGTTACGAAATTCAAACTCAGATAACCTCTGACGTATACCCTGCAGGCTGGATGACAACAGACCTTCACAAGCATTTTCAAGAAATACATATTAATTCGATGATAAATCCATTTGCCAAACACATCAATACAACTAAATACACCAAAATTTTTAAACTTTTTTCCTGCTTTTGTTATAGCTAAAGTCATATTACCAACTTAATACCTGGATGGGATCAAACAAAACACTATTTATGGATGGTTTATTATACAAATTAATAGTGTTTTATTTGATTATGTTCCATTTACTAAATGCGATTCAAAGAATGCATACATTTACATGAGATATTGCAGAGCAAGAACCGAAATACGAAACTATCTAAAGAATGCTAAACACGCTTTGGGTGACATTTTCAATTACATTTATGGAAATCATGAAGACACAAGACACAGTAACTTTTCACCCACGATGTTGCACGATTAATTGTAGAGTAAAATGGAAAATTAAATTGTTCTGTTTTATGCCTTCCAAAATATGTCATGCATTCTTTATCTGACAACAGGCGGGCAAATAATTACCTGACGATAATGTTAACTCGTCCCAATATCAAATAGTACATTCTTATTGCATTATTTAATCTAGCGACTTGGCAATTGATGAGTCGTTATTTATACATTATGCACGTATTATCTTTCTAAGAAATATAACCTATATAGTATTTATTCTAGAGAAACATGTATATATCAAATAACTAAATAGTTATTGTGTTCAAATACCATCCTACATCGTTAAAGCTCTTTTATAAATATAGTAGATTTTATTGCTCCAGAAGGGGAAAAGGTCTGCATCGTTTATAATACTTATCATTTTGTTAGCGCGTTTCGGGCGAGCTTAGGGCGGAGTAGGTCAGCACAAAATCATACCTTAACGCACATGTCAAACAAAATAGAATGTTTGCTCACCGACTCTATGTAAATCTCCTGTCGCGTTAGTTTGACGGGATGGGAGACACGACTTTGTTTAGATAGGCTTACTTATTTAATACTTTGTGATTTGTAGTGAATTGTACACACGTAGAAAATAATTTGTGAATATTGAATCTGCTTTGGTGATGTGAAATTTAAATGAAATTATAACTGTTCAATAGATAATCTTCCATGTCAGCATGTGTGCGTCATTAATTTCTCACGGACCACACGCGCAGTTATCACACTTTTAGTAAGGTATATATATATTCACTATACCAAATGGTTGAAGATATTTTTTTATGTTTTGTTAAATTAATCTGCACCAATAGATCCTATTTATAATATATTCGCCTGTAATTGCTATTTGCACGGCCTGACGTAAACTACGTCTAATGAAGTCCTGATCCGTAAACGGCTCCATCTGTCCGCCCTGTTTACACGTCTGCTCGCCAGATGGAGAAAATGTGCGATGGCTTCCTTTTTCTGAACCTCATATTTTGATTTGTTTATGTTTTCAATGTGTGACATTTTGAATAAATAAATATTCACAGAACTGATGATTTGGCATGCATCTAGTTTTTACTCTTAAACTCGGAAACCTGAAGTAGATTGAAGATTTTAGCAGCTATGGTAACAAAGTTATTTGTAGTAAATTGCCCTTGCCTTACTAATAGAATATTTTCCTGTAATGCAGATAATAAAATATTTGTGCAGCTACCCCTATTGTTTACTAAAGTTGAGCTCACTTATATATAGAAATAAAATAAATTAATTGAATATTTTAATTGGTTGGATTCTACCTAGCTCCAGGTCTATGTATACTGTTGAAGGGAACAACTATTTAGGCTATATACCGATATGTGTTTTATCTAAAAGAAGATTTTATTGCATTTACGTATAAATTGTCAGTATAGAAAATTCAATTACATGTACCCATCCTAAATCTGAGCTGTTTATACGCCCAAATTGTCATGTGATCGTATATTGCCGTCGCCCCGTCCGTCCGTCCGGCGTCCACGCTCTAAAGCCAAGGCTAAGGTTACTATCCGATAGACTTTGAATTGATACACAGTGTTTACGGCCATGAGACGATGACGTCTAGTGATTTACAACAATTTCTGATAATTGCTGCCGGAGTTATGGCCCTTGATCACTTTGAAAGATCTTGTGGACACTCTAGAGGCTAAAGTTACTAACCGATGGACTTTAAATTTATACACAGTGTTTATACGGTCAGGAGACAATCGATGAAGCCTATTGATTTTCAACATTATCCGATAATTACTGCCAGAGTTATGTCCCTTGATCACTTTGAAAAAAACATGTGGAAGCTCTAGAAGCTAAAATAATATCTGATTGGCTTCAAATTTATACACAGTGTTTAAGGTTGTGAGACGAAGAATCCTATTAATTTTCAATGATCTCCGAAAATTACTGCCAGAGTTATGACTCTTGATTTCCGATAATTACTGCCAGAGTTATTGCACCTGTTCACATTGAAAAATATTGTGGACACTCAAAGAGGCTAAAGTTAATATCAGCTGATTGCATTTAAAGTTATGATTACTAGAGAAATCTTGTGGGCGCGCTAGAGGCTAAAGTTAATAAAAAAATTTATACACAGCGCTTAAGGTCATGAGACAAACACTGAAACAAATTCTAACGATTTCTCGTTATCAAATTTTAGTATGTCGGACGGCTTAGCTGCTGTTGGTGAGGTGTTGAAATTGAATGCAATATTCGAACACAATTGACCCTCAAATTTTTAAAAATTTCACGCAATGACCACCCCAACCAAAACATATCGATTTTCTTATATATTACTTGGCCTGTTTACTTCAGTGCCATCGTTATTTCTTTTAACCTGCAAAACAACATTTTCAGCTAAATTAAATTTACAGTGGCGGACACAGAAAAAATAAATCGATTATAAAGCCATTTAAAAAAAAATCTTATTTTCAATCATGAAGGATTAGGGAATGGAAACTTTAATTATGTACTAGACCATACCCGACTTATATCAAGCCATTTGGGGAATACTTTATTGCATTACTGATACCATTTGTAGGCCATGTTAATAATACCAATTGCACACTGCTGGCATGTATGTAAGCTAATACCATTATCATCTGTTTTAGGTAATTGGGTTTTGTGTACCCAAAAAGGATGCCGATAAAGATGGTCGAACCGTTGTTATGGTTACAGAATTGGGAGAAACTATTGATTTGATCAAACTGCTCCAGATGTCGTGGGAGGATCGTTTAAGGGTAAGTGTAAACATTTCTGGAGTGTTCCTCCCCTTGATTATGTTTCTTCAATATTGATTAGGCTTTTGCTTTTAAACAATTATAGTATGCTACGATATACTCAATTATGAGTCAGCTTACATATTATGTAGGTTTGCACGTTTGCTTCGACCGAACTTCTTGAAAAACCTGAATGCTGTTATGCCAGTCAAATGTTGAACAGTAGTGTTAACTCGCTTTATCAAACTGGCAATTTTTGACATATAAACCAATATTTTAAAAATCTATCGCTTCTGGGTGAAAATATCTTAGAGTTATTGAAGCTAAACATGCTTAAAGGCTTATTTGATATTTTGTCCAGTTTCGTTCAATATGCCACTTGGAAATAGAAAAAAGCAAACTGCAATCACATTAGCTGTTGGACATACATACGATATAATTCTGCAACCAGTCAATATGATAAAACAAACTCAATTATTACGACAGCTGTATCGCTTTCAAGTGTAAATGTAAGAAGGTTTTAAGTAACATTCGTTCCCTGGAGCACATTGCTTTAATGGTCTAAATGGAATTAAAGAAAGGGTCGTGTAAAGGAAAATAATGTACGTTCCATCCTTGGAATCGATGCCAGCGGCCTTTTTAGCCGCGTTTAATGGCAGATCAACGTTTTGAAAAGGAAAGACGGATGTTTGCGTGAAATTACATCCTAGTTCACGTCATAACAAAGTAATTAACTTACCAATAACCCAAGTTAAAACTCTATTCAAAAGTTATGTAAGTAAAGCCAAGCGTAAACAGACAATTTCAGATAAGTTTCTATACATATTATCGATCCTCTATAATATGTTATAATGTTAGACAATAGATACAAATGCGTAAAAAAAAATCATTTCCCATTTAAAAGCTTTACTAAACCACTTTTGTAATACTAATTAAAGCTAAATAAACATGCAGTTTTCAATTAACGAAATTTTAGTGTCCTCGAGTCCAGATTTAGTGCAGTTGATATATGTATGTCAAAGATTTGAGAAATCTGTCGGTTCTTTATATTACCGGGAAAGAATTAGGGGAAAATTATAGAACAATATACTAAGTATTAGCGAGAAATAATTTGGGGAAATTATAGATGTTGAGTAGATGATTTGATAAAAACACCGTGTATCTAATGTCCGATAATTCAATGATAATGTCGGTAAATGACGGCAATAGGCTTGGAATGGAACCAAATGAAATCATCGACGATTGGTTTTATGTTTATGTTGACATTTGTGAGAATAGCAATATATCATTACTCATCAGGAGACCTTACAACCCCGGCGACAAGAATTTAGCCAAGCAATTATCGGTAAAGGTTACAGAATTGGTAACGTGCGAGCTATACTGTGGTGATAACTGTATCATTCTGTAATAAAACTAGTAAAAGCATGAAGAAGTATTAAAGCTGTAATGATAGAAGCATGTAATGTGTTTTTGATGAACTGTTATGACTGTAGCGATCGAGCGCTGTCGACCATTCGCCCATAAAATGACGTATTTTCAACCCGAGCTGCTCAGAAACGGGAAACTAACAGCCATACCGACATTTCACTGGATACAGCTTGATTGCTTTCTATCTTACATTATGTTGAATTTGCTTTTTACATCTTAACCATGACTATTATTTTCAGTATTCTGTTCAAATATCATGTTTAGATATAAAAATCAAGTTAAACGTTGAATGCAAGTTCATATCCCCGTATAATTGTGGGTAATGAACCATGCTTCATGGGACGTTCAATTTGCCATTAACATTTTATGCTATTCAAGTCTTTAAAGCTGTTTTACGGCTGAGCTAAAATAGTTTTTATTGAAACATACCAAGAGCAGGCAAGTGGCGACCATTGAAAAGGAGATTTGAACAAACAATTATGACCTTAGTAGACAAGATTTTTCACTTGTACGATTATACAGAAAAGATTCCCAAACATCTGTATATACACAAACATGTAGATCGTAGACTAGGTTACGCGACTGGTTAAAAAAAGCAGTAATCTGGGTTCTCGTCTGGCGGGAGTAATTTTCGAACTGGCAGGCACACGTGAATTTGATTTATAGTTGTAGATATTTGGTTTATGTCAAGATGATTGGCACCTGTCAATGATGGTGCTTGTTAGCGAGCGGTTAGGTTAGTTTAGAGAGAAAATTGAGAAGATGTCTTGTATTAGCACTTTAACAACAGATTAGTATAATGTTATCATCGATATATTTTACACACACAAAATTTGATAGAAACAAGAGTTGAAACGACGGTTAATCATATATCGATTTTATCTCGTGTTATCAAGTTATTAAGAAATTTACTTATATCGATCCAGCTTTCTAAATTAGCCCATTAATATACCCTTACATGTGATTGAAAAGCACTTAGCTGTTTGACTCACCAAATATTTAGCGTTCCCATCCTTATGTTAATGTTAAGTCTGAAGTTTCTGACACACGCTAATAAAAGTTTTATTTCTGGTTCTGAATTTAAGAGATCACCAAAAATAGTTTTAACCCAAAGACAACCAGAGACTGTCTTCATCCGAAAGACATCCTTTAAGCGAGTCAAGAACTTGCGTCGTATTATTGAAATAATTATCTTCTTAAATTAAAACAAGATGCCATATAAAGTTTAAAAACATGTTAAGATCATTGTTACATGTCTGTCTCGTTTGGTATTGAATAACCATTCTGAAGTGTTCAGTTTCATTTTACGTTCAACTGTCATCATAAATTCTACTCTGGTCGTGCAGACAAACGAAATGTCCAGCTTTTGTAATCCAATGACGTAACGCACTCAGATGAAATCTTTTACCGATAGACTGGCAGGTTTTTCTTACACAATACTCGGGTACCGTTTCCTTGGTAACGGCATACCTGATCGATAGGAAGGCAAATCTGTCATTGATAAGATTATGATTGACAGCTTCAAAAGTACAAATACATCAACTATCTTCAAAACACACTTCATAGTCTTCATTCCAATCTTTTAATCTGAAGGCAAAGATCTATGCCAAGTTGCATAACTCTTCCTACAGACAACCCAAACCAAGTAATTTGTCAGTTCACTCAATCCACTGGTCTTCATTGTGCTATGATGAAATAAGCATTGCCCAGGACCAATTGCTAAAGAAAATCGCATTATTTTAGCTCCGAGCAACGAAAATACCATTAGTTTCCAAGACTAGATTCATCATGGTTGACCTTCTAAAAGGTATAAATGAGCTTCCATAAAAAAGAAATGGCGAATTCTTCAATTTTCTGTAATCAAATTTACTCTCTTGGGTGACTTCTGGGCATCATACGCTCATCCATCCTGGTATTCACATTTTAACACCCATTAAACGCAGTGCTTATATAAAAAATGTACTTTATTTATTATCGAAAAATGACCTTCGTTAATATTTTAAAGATCGTATCAGAAAAGTTAAAATCATTATTTCTGGTCATTTCTTTTGAGACAAAGATAGGAAAAGACATGATGTTGTTATCGATTTGCTACAAAGATTACATCCAGCATGTCTTTACTTACGAATTGTTACATAAATCTATTTTTAGAAGGGCTATTGGCTATAAGTAATTTTTTGTAATTATCACTTACAATTACTACGGAAATCAGATTATGGTAAAGTATATTTAGAATTAATATTATCTAAAACAAAATATATAGAGATGGTGGGCAGGTAGTCTAACGTGTGCGCTTTAGGTCATGATTAAGATCAGTCACTTGAACATGACAATGAGTAGAATCGCATATCTAATATCTTCAGGTTTCCCCGATTCCTCCGGTTTTCTCTCAGTGTAAGCGAATTGTTGAATATGTTAGACCAAAATAGTCCCAAACTGACCTAGCTTGCGTTGAGTTGACGTTAACGCCCTCCCTCTATCTCCCTCTCTCTCTCCGCCGCCAGTGTATCTATTATTAATCAAATAGCATTGGTGAAACATTTATCTTAAAGTAATGGACAGAATACGTGTTTCTTCGTGAGTTCACAACCCGTTTTATGGTATGTTCTGCATAACAATATACTAATGCTTTATTTATCCAGCCCGTAGTCTATGTTTGATATACAAATAGATGCACAATGTATATGGCTACTCATTTCTTGACCCTCGCTATAGAATTTGAAATCACTTAATTAGAAGATAAATTCTATACGTTGCACTAATCCATTCTAAGATTATTTAAAGGGCAGGGGGGAACTGGGGGTATCAAGTATCTAATGGAAATGTGAACATTTATATACGTGTCAAATTACTAAATTTATTATATTAGATTTAATCGTGGCGCCAGTCTGCACAAACACTATTTACTAAACATCTTTGAGGATGTTGACAAATTCAAAATTCTATCCATGACATTACATTTGTTAATATATGGATGCATTTTGGGTATGAAGAAATCCTTATCGAGCGTATTTTTTTTTTAATTTGATAAATATTGCTACCACTGTGAACTATTAAATATCTGAACAGATATCAAAACTGACAGAAAGACAGCTGCGACGAACAATATGTAAACTATTTACAGGAATTGCATACATGAACAAATAGTTTCGCTGAAGACAATTTACGTTGCCGAAATGGATCTTAGTTTTTCGTTTAGTTTTTCCTCATTCTTTTGCTTCTCTTTGTGTGAATAGCAAGAACATTTATCACCGATACCAGGGAATTGTGCAGTAGATTTATTTTTTTGTGCTGTGCAGCTGTTGTGACCATTGTCTTGTGACAGATTCTTACAGGATCAGGTTTCTTCACCAACAATGGTTGTTAGGATTGAGTTGCATGTATTGATGGCATTGGGAAGTAACCGGCACAATAACTACAATTTTCGACTTTGGTTTATGTCAGCTCACTTCCTAAGATTTATCCATTGTGTCTGACTCATTGAAATACGTGCCAAGAATAATTAATTCTTAGTCAAAATAATACACGTTTATATATTCGTCTTATTTACCACTATTGTGTATTTTAGTAAGCAACGTGCTAAATTCTACGTTTAGATAAAAATAAATTTTATAATTAAACGTTCAACACTCTGAAAGTTAAAATAATAGGAAAGTAATTTGATATTAAACAAACATGCCATTTCAATGCATAAAATGAAGGTCATAAAACATTTTTATTTTTTCGAGAAATGACTGGATCCACGTATAACACATTGATTTCAAAAATAAATATGGTCACTTGCCAGAGCTTACTTTTTTTGCAAAAAGACCTTATTTAGTTAAGACGCTCTTTTAGCTATTTTATATATATTAGTGCTGAAATTCATATCTCGAAAAAACCAGGGGACTATTGAAATTGGTTCGTCTGTCTGTCTGTCTCTCCATCTGTCTGCCTGTTACACTTTATGGCACAATAAATTATCTTCTAAAGCCGAGCTCACAACTCGCCGTACGTGTTTTGATACGCACGGATCATAGGGTTTGGTAATTCGTAGAACAACCGCAAGAAACCGGATGAAGATTTTGTATGTGCAGGACCAAAAGTCTCCACTACGTCTACGATCTTCTACGGTGCCGAAAACACGCAAATGACGCGTAAGACTCACGCACGGGTTTACTAAATTCTCCCCGAGAACTGCCCGTAGTAGCACGTACGACGGGTTGTGAGCTAGGCTTTATTTATGGGTGTCGGGATGGCGAGATGATGATAATAGTAACACTGCCTTATAAGGGAAGCGATGGGTGGGGTTAACGCGTGCGATATTTTACGAAATTTCACCATGAGTGGTGTTGTGGCATCGTGTACATTATAAGAAATATCGCTTCGAAAATGTAGATCGCATTACCACAAAGAAAAACTGTTCGGTAACCATTTTAGTGGTCTAGTCTTCACCATTTGTGATATAATTACTTATTTCAGTACAATCTGTAATGATGCGTGTTGGCAATAGTGCGTTTAAAATCGATTTGTACTTGCGTAAGGCCCCTTAGACTGTATCAATTGTAGCGCTAAACAGTTAAGCGCAACAATATTGTAGCTATGGGGATATCAGCTCGCGGTTGGCTTGTTTTTAAGTAGGATGCCACTTAATAATTTACTTGGTAGTCTTTGATAATTAACATTTTAGAATCACGGATGTTTAAATATGAATATTTTAGCTCACCATTAAAAAAAGATTTATTGAACATAATGATGATACGACTCACTATCATCATTTCAAAATTCATGACCATAGATTCATTTAAAGAGAATTTATATACCTACATATACTGTCAAAACATTGATCTTGGACACGATTACATTTAGGTATGGTTACCAAATCGTGTTATGTGTTGTATTATAAGACGAATTTGTGGAAACTGAATTAGACTACAGGCTTGAAAATTATAACGTATAATTTTTTAAAAAAGAAAATTGGCATGAAGATGGATACGTGAACATCTTTCTCAAATTACCATTAAAGGATTATTGTCAGATATGTCTCCTTGTCAGTAACTTATCTTAATGATCTCGACTCTATAGGGGCCAAGTTCATCGCGAAATTACTGGTAAATTAATAGCTTATCATGAAAATAGTGGTGTATTACTATTAACGGCTTAAAATGCTTGATTTCGATGACAAATTGCATACATAAAGCCGAGTTGAACTATCTGTCAATACCTCTTTAAATTGTACCAAACCGCCTATTCATTATATACTGGTTAATATTGATTCAGATGGCTCGTACCTTTAAAATAAGATAATTATAGGATTGTTATATTATATCTTATAAATGAAATATGTTGATATAATGACAGCTTTACGTGGTTTATTTGATACTCAAAATCAGGCAAGCATTGAATAATATAGACCAACATCGTGTCATATGGATTTTGAACATACCTCAATTAGTGTCATATTTTTTCGATATTTCCTTTCCTATAGCATTTCTAGTTTTTTTAAAGCGATGTATCGATCGAAGCTGTCATAAACCCAGCGTCTTATTTATGAGTAGGTTTATTCAGTTGACCTGTATTGATTACAAATATAGATGATCAAGACACATAGAATAATTTCATGTAGGGGTATATTGCTGCACATGTATATTTCATCTGTCAATTATTTCCCATCAATCCTCCTAGCCATTTTATTTCTGTATTATTGTAAAGGTCAGTTGTTGGGTGGAAAATGAATTGAAACGTGTAATTGGTAGTACAGTAATACAAGACATGTCATTAAATTTGATAGAATTACAATTGGTATTTACTAGTGGGTAAACATGGTGGTCTATAAATAGTAGGCATTTAAAATAGGTTGTTTTACGGGTTATCCAAACTGACAGGTTTATAGAATAAACTTTACTGCATCAAAACAAACTTTACAATATTATGTGCAGATGTATTCAAATAATTTTTTATTTTATAAAAGATATTTGTCAGAAAATTGGCTATTTACTCATGCTGCATGATTTATGAATTTCTATACGCCCACCTTGAAATGTGATCCTATATTGTCGTCGTCCCCGTCGGTCGGGCGTCAACAATTGCTCGTGGATGCTCTAGAGGCTAAAGTTAGTAGCCAATTGACTTTAGATTTATACACAGTGTTTAAGGTCATCAGACGAAGAAGCCTGTTGATTTTGTGGATGCCTTAGAGACGATAGTTGTCATCTGATTGATTTTATATTTATACACCGTGTTTATGCCTATATATAATCGTTTTGATTGACTTTAGATTGATACGAACAAGTATATTGATTTTCAATGATTTTTGATTACTTGAACTGCTAAATCCATGATATTAAATGGTTTGCATACTAAACGTTAGCATGGGCCAAGCACATTCTATTGATTTTCTGATAATTACTTAATGAGATGTTACTCTTAATCAGATTTTAGTGTATTATAAATATTTCTTACCGACAAAAATAAAAATATGCGACAACTCCTGTTGACGCCAGGACGATCTAGTTGGTGTGGGCGTATGTTTTATTGCCTGGCAACCTATCTTTATTTATCATTTTCGAATTTACGAAACATTAACAATGTCTGATTTAGCCTACCTTTATATTTTATTGGATTGGACTCTCTAAACCTGTGTGTTGTCTTCTGAAAGGCTTGTGATTCCATAACTAACAATTTTGGGTCTTCTTTTCTATACGAAATCGACTTCAGTGCATTATTTTGAGCATGTTCGTTCCGACAAAACTGTGTAATCTAATCTAATTATTAAAGTTTCGATTTATTTACTTCCAGATATCCCATGATGTAACGAATTTAATGGAATTTTTAGCTAATACACCTTATGGTTCTGTCTCGATGAATGATTATAGACGTCAACAGTTTGTTTTAGTTAATGGACAACTCAAGTTATCAGATGTTGATGACGTAGGTTTTGATGAACCGTCTTGTACCAATGATAATGAATGTACAGTTGTATTTTCTAGTTCAAACTTTACAAAACAGTAAGTTTTATGTAGCTCATATAATATTGTTCTTCACACAAATCTTGGATAAGTTATAGCTTCACATCGGGCTATATTCCGCTGTGGCCCCCGAATTTGATATTTATTGTTCTGTATTTATATATTTACAAAACAGTATGTTTTAATATTAATATACAATGTGGCTCATTTAATATATTACTCCACGAACATATTGAATATGGTATAACTTCCCACAGTGGTCTATTTTGCTGTGGCCCTCGATGGAAATTAGGGGATCACGTGGCTAAGTGGGTAAGACGCTAGCTCGCTAGCCTGGAGGTCGGGTGTTCGATCCCTGCATTGGCCGAGAAAGTTCATCCAGATTTTCCGGCGTGGTTCTCCCTTGTCAGTGGTGCAGAACGGAGGGGCTGACAAGGAAAGCTATCTAGTCGTTCGGATGGGACGAAAAACCGAGGGCCCGTGTACACATTGGCGTGCACGTAAAAGATCCCTTGGCAGTTGGAATTCGATATAAGAGTAGGCCGTAGTGCCGCTGTCCGGGCAAAATTTCCCTCATAGCACACTGTATGGCGTATGCCCGTCTTCATTAGCCCAGGTTAGGAGCAGAACAGTAAGACGTTAAACTCCATTTCATTTCATTTCGATGGAAATTAGTGTAAAAGTGTATTGCATTTAATATTTATTATTCTATATTTCAGTTTATCGTGTATTGGGGGATATTGTTTAGGGTATAACGAACATAGAAATCTCTTCAACACCGGCCGTCATTTTACAACGTTCCTCCTCCCACATGGTGCACCATTATTACTAAAACCACATATAGAACAAGTTGTCAATGCTTACAGTAATTTAACACTTAATTCTGGACTACTGGTAGATAAAATGAATACAATAGTTAATTTATATAAAACTGGCAATTATTTGAATAGAACTGTACCAGAACAGCATAAAACAGGTTTGTTTCTGGTATTTTTTTTTTTAATTTAAGCTTAAAAGCGTTGCATAGTAATAAATCCAGTTATTGTGTATCCATAAAATTGCACCTTGGGTTATTTGATTGGGTGTCGTTCACGGGGCCGTGTAATCAGATAATATTTCCTTTTTATTCGAGAAGTTTAGTAGGCCCTTTCCTGCAGACTTGGCTTTTCAAAAAACAAAACCCAAAAATGTAATAATCGGGCTTTATTCTTTAGTACCATCTTGAACAGGCATTGTTGTCTCGAGGATATTTCACTTTTCTTTAACATGAAGTCTCAATTATTTTCAAATTTCTGTATTTTTCAGAATTTTTAAAACATACACAGAGTGATTTACCTGGTCAACATGATTATAGGTGTAGATTTTCTATGTCTGGTGTTGGTTGTACTGTATCAGTATTTGATCAGAGAGAAGCAGAAGATATTTGTAAAATAGATCCTGAATGTAAAGGTTTTGTGATAACTGACCAAAAAACATGGGCAGGTAATATGCCCTTCACCTGTACTTTTATTGTTTTAGATGGAGTAACTAACATCACTTTTAGGGCAATAAGGGTCCTATCATAAGGCTTATATGTTTTGCTGAATCTAGTAATTGTGAGTCTCTGCACAAGTTTGCTAGGTTCCCACTGTCGTGCGATGCGTTACGATAGGATTGTCCCTATTATGTCCACGATTTGGTATGTGAAGATGCGTTCGGATTCGTTTCGATACGATCAACACGATTGCCACGACTGACCTCAATATATGATAGGACCACCACGACTACTCCACGATTAAAACGACGATTTCAGTCGTAGCGCAAATCGTGGTAGTGGGAACCTAGCATTAGGCAATTAAAAGTAAAATCCCAAAATTCGAGCAAATATTCTGAATCTAACCACATATGGGGCGAGACTTTTCATTTAGCTAAAGTCATTAGCAATTAAATAATAATACACAGTTGGGATGGCCTAGTGGTCTAGAGTGTCACGCTTCGACCTCTAGTTGGCCAGTCACCTCTGGCTTGCGGCTGTGGTTTCGATCCCAGGTGTGAGCGTATGTGGCTTGGAGATAGGGGCGCCTTCTCAACCTCGTGGGTTTACTCCGGGTACTCCGGTTTCCTCCCACAGCAAAGACCCCTGCGCGTGCGCTGAGATCATTAAAATGAACTTGTCTGCGATATCACCTTCGGTGGAAACGGACGTTAAACGCTAAGAACAACAACATGAGCGCTGAAAGTAAACCCGCCGCATACAGCGAATTTGAGATAAGTTGGCAGACCGTCATCGGAGCAGCTTACAAAATGCACACCAAGGCCGTTTTAATAGTTTATCTCATATGTGTACAACACGCTTTTATTCCCGGCATTGGTTTTCTGTGTTTCTTGATCTAGGTTGCTATAAAGAGAGTTTTACATTACTTACATATGTAATTATTGGAATGGAGCGTCTAAACATCATCAATAAAATCTTCCAAACTATTGATTTATTATCTCAGTTAGTGTAATTCATTGTCTTGAGCATCTACTAACATTTCTAATTTGTCTGTTGCGTGATCCAGGTCGAATATTTTCAACAGTTTAACAAATGATAGGCAATAATATGTAATATATAACATGTAATATACGCCACCAGTCTGGAAATGTACATTTTTGTAAGCCCACGTATAACAATTTCCGTTTATTACGGATTATTGAAATAAAATTATACCACATGTTAGTCCCGAAATGACCTAGTTTGTGTCGAGTGGACGTTAAACCCCATCTCTCTCTCTCTCTCTCTCTCTCTCTCTGATCTGTATGATCTGATCTGTATGAAATTGACTGTAAATGCCCCCAATTACCCACAAAAGAATAAATATGTAACAACCCTTGTCGATCGCACGGACGATTTAGCTGCTGTGGGTGTATGTTTCGTTGCCTGGCAACCAATCTTTTTAAATTTTAACCGCCTTCTCTTATTTTACAGGAAGAAAAATAGTTCATTTAAAGAACGGAATAGGAAGAATCTCCACCAATGAAAATACGGATTTATTAATTAAACCATCGTGAAATTTGTTGAAACATGAATTTTAAGAGCAAATCTGTGATAACTGTGTATCTAAAAGAATTCCTTCGCGTTGTTATTGATAAGTTGAAAGTTATGCCGATTCCACAGTGAGTGACCAGGGTTGTTTCTAGGAAACCAAAGAAATGAGAAACATTGATTGTAACATCAGGCGTTAGAAAGATAACATCGAAGTGTTTTGTACAAATGTGCCTTTTTTATAAGGCCTGACTAGGATTCCATCTTGTCTAGTGCTATTGAATGCATGTGTAATTTCTGTTTTCGGCAGGATTCCGATACATAACCATCGATCATGGCGTCACGTGGCAGGAAGTAATAAGGAAAGATATAGATGGCAGACAACATGGCGGATATTAGCAGACGTGATACCAAGTAGTTGAACATTCAACAATATTGGAAGTCGTTTTAGAACTGATGAGATGTCTGAAAGCCAATAAGATAAACCTGGAATTAAAGTGTGCAATCATTACTGAAGATGGATGCCATCAAACTGTAGTAGAGAAGTCTGAGTGTAGCCACTGATTAAATACCACAATACTTTCAACTGTTTTAGTGTTTAGCGATGGTTGGCAGTTATTAATGCCAATGGATGTCCAGTATAGATGATTTGCTTTTTCAAGGCTATATACATGTGCTTCATTAGGACATAAAAACTAAATAATTATATTTAATTGTAGATTGTGATGAATGACGGTTTTAGCTTTAAGACAGGTATTTTTATGAATGTATAGAAATAAATTTATTATTTGCAATGCATATCCTAAAGAATGTGCTATTTTAATAGGTTTAATGTGATTCTCAGAATAAAGAACATAGATAATATTATTTAAAGTATATTGTTTCAATGAAATACTAGAAATAATTATTTGTAAGTATATTAGGCTATATTTGAATGTGTATATTTTGTAATATAAATCTTTGTATAGTTCTACTATTTTACAATTAAAAATGTATTGGTTTACAATAGTTTACATCTTTGTGTTGCTTTGAATAATGTGTAGACCAATTTAAGCAGGGGGGATTCGTGGACGCTTGAGTTTACAATTTGCAAAGTTTGAGAGAACATCATCAGAATTAATGTACAGATGAAGACATACTCAACAAGGCATTATATATTTTTAGATCGTTTGTACAGTATGCCAATCGAAGCTGATATGTAAGCAGAGAAACAAAATTACTTACTAAACCAAAACTTCTTATGGGGTTAACAAAAACATTTCAGAATTGCGAAACAAAAAAATAAATTCATATCATGTACATTCTTATACAAAATACAAAATCGGTTCCTGGCAACTACAACTCCTACACCATAGTCTGTAACTTTGATTGTCTTTACAAAGAAAGTGCTTATAATCTTCGTGACCTTTAAGAAATTGCCATGTTTAATGTTCAGGAATAGATAAAAGATACATAGAAGTGGTCAAATCTCAAATTGTTCGTACAAACTTTACATTACACAAAATTTAATGGTTTAACACACAGTTTGTAGAAATTAAATCAAAACTTTTAACAAAATCTTTAATTCTATACTGTTTCTAAGTGAGAGACCGTTCGAGTGTCGTTTCTGTGAATTATTTTGTTCTTGAGTTACTTGTATTTGATAAACAAACGAAATCTCCACATACATTTCTACTTTATTTCTACTATTTACATCTTATAAGAAATCGTTGAACTAAATTACACCGAATGACATTTACTGAACAAGAGAGAATAATATTGGTCTCAGATGGTTTAGTCCTTTGGACTAGACTTGTTGATAAGTTGTTAGGACCTCAAATTTCTAACTTAACGATGTACTAAAAGTGAAAACAGCATTGTATAAAAGTGAAAAAAGCTTGGTGAACTGGTTAATTGGTAAAACGGTGGTAATATGGATTCCAGCTGATAAATAGTCAAAACACGGGAACGGAAGGGCGGTAAAAACAATGCACTTCCCTTCATACAGTTAGACCTTTCTAATCCTAATTATGGACTACATTGTACAATACAGTACGTGCAAAGTTTACTTGATATCCCTCTTCTAAAATATTCCGGACATAATTTGTAAAGATGATTGTGGAGTAGAGAATTATCGTAAATTAATTTTTACAACATAAAATAAATAAAAACGTTCCAATTTCCTATACTGTTCCTCACCAACCGGGATAATCAAGACGATAATACGACAAGGAGTGTGCTATGAGGGAAATTTTACCCGGGCAGCGCCTTCGAATTTGTAAAGAGTTCTTTTACGTGCATTGGTTTTCGTTCCATCTGTCAAGCCCCCTGTCCTGCACCGCTTGACAACGGCCAACAACGGAACTAAACTCTGTACTCCCCGATTAGTGAGCCAACGCCTTTCTGTCCGTTTTCGGAATATATCTTTGAAAATGCCAAAAATATCATTTACAATGAAATAACAATCAAACGGACTTGCTTCGATTTAAAAGTGATACTTTAGTTGCCTCGGCTCAAAAATGTGGTTTATCGTATGGCTATCCACAGGGCTGCTGCATAATAAATTCATGTCATTGCTGGGTTATTCATTATAAAGTGTAAAGTTTATAAAGACGATTGTTACAAAACTATGTGAAAGATAGTTAAGGGGGGGGGGGGCTGAATAGATGATGGTGTAAGCGAGTTTCATAAGTTAATTATAGTGACACAACGAGTATATGAATAAATAGACTAGAAAATATAACAGTTTTATAATCGTTTCTCTGTTAAATTTATTTGAACTTAAAAGACATTATTAAGACAGGCGCACGTCAAAGAAAGCCCCTCATCCTATAATTGCATTGCCCTTTCTAGCTTAAAAAAATATCTCCAAGAGATTGTATGAAATACTACCTTTCACAAATCAACCACAAGGATCGACAATACGTCTTTATGGATTGAATCACTCGCAAAATACTTCAGAGAAAGTTGATATTATCATGACATTAACCAAGATTGCTTTGTCTAATATTTGCGATTTCCTCCCTCTTACCGAGAATTATGTCGAAAACTCTTTTTATAATATAGCCTTAATCCGAAGAATTTCATCAGTTTGGAATTGAACGATGGGGAGGGAACTGTGCCTTCGAAAAGAAAAATTACGAATTTCGGTAGACCCAAACAAAAATAAACTACATGTATACACCCAAGGTTTTGTTTTTAAAACCCATTAATACCTTTGTCCAGTATAGCATTCGGAAAGATAAATTAGGAAAACGTTTTGGAAATTTACGATATCATATGAAATCTTACTACAACCTTAATGAAGAATCACACCGAATTTGCTCGCTAGATTTCATATGTTCAAACGGGTAAACACTAGACAAGTCTTGAATTTGTGAAAGTTCGGCAGGGTTCTGCTATATGAGGGAAAATTGCCCGGACTGCGGCATTTTTCGTCCCATCCTGACGAATAGACTTACTCAACAAGCCACTGTGGCTCCCAGCCCCAGGACGCTAAACCCCATTTCATTTCCTGAAGACCAGATCACCAATCCCTGCAAGTTTGGAAAGGAAATGATCAAAAAAGACTGTAGTGTCTGG